ATATATATATATATATGTATATACCCCTTATTGCACTCTCAAATATGTCATAGAGCATAAGACTTGAAACACTTGTTCGTCGTACAAGTTCTTCTATAGTAAGAAACAAGAAAGATAAAGCATGGGTTTTCGTTTGCCCGGTGTTAAAAGAGCTAGACAAGCAGTGTCAAAGGGTGTGGAGGTTCCAAAAGGATATCTAGCAGTGTATGTTGGAGAAGAAAAGAAGCGGTTCGTGATTCCGATTGGATGCTTGAACCAACCTTCATTTCAGGACTTGCTTAGCAAAGCAGAAGAAGAATATGGCTACCATCATCCAATGGGTGGCCTTACGATTCCTTGCAGAGAAGATGTTTTCTTAAATATCATGTCTCTTCTCACTTGAAACTTCACAACATACACATCAGTAGTAGTATCTAGTTCAAAAACAAACAATTTTGTAGAGTTTTTTTTTGTTTTTTTCCCTTTGCTTCCATGCAAAAGTGGAAATGTAAAGGAACCAAAGTTATATTGATTACGTTGAGGAATTTAAATATATGACACTACGCGTTTAATCGTCCAGCAAAAACAGTTTTTGTATGAATTTTCTCTATGATTTCCTGAAAAATGGTTTTAGGATTTGGTAAATTATACATAATTGTGTGAATAAATCATATTAATTCATAAATATAAATTTGTAATGAAATGGAATTCTGATTAAAATGAAAATCCACCCATGATCGTATTCGTGCCCCATTTTGTCATCAAGCGTCTTCTTTCCAAATCCTAAAGAGGAATGCTTCTGGTTCTGATAGCACCACGGTATATGATAATTTACTATTACATAATTTTTTATATTAATGTAATTTTTCTGAAAAGAAAGGGGTAATCAGGGTAGAAAACTATAACTAAACAGATTTTTTAAATTTAAAAATCATAATTTAAAAGTTAAAAAGAAAAAAAAAACTTAATTAATTAGGGACTTTAAGTGTTTTATATTTATTAATTTATATATATATATATATCATAATTTGATTAGTATATATAAGTCATAATTTAATGTATATTTATAAAATTGTCTATAAATATTTAATAATATTAATAATATATTTAAATTTTATTAATTTAGTAATAGTATAAAAAAATTGCTACATATAAATGAAATTTATAATTTATTTATCTTAAAAAGTGAATAGTTATATAATTTGAAAATATTTTTAAAATAATACTATATTAATATACTATTAATATTATCAATATTAATTTACGGAAAAAAATTATACTAATAATATATAATTTTATATTAATTGTAATAAATATGTATTTGCAATTTTGGATTGCAGATATAAATATTTTAATTTTCATTATCATAATAAAGAAATTTATTGGTGTCGTGGTTAACTTTTTAAGGTTCAATTTTTATATTTAACATTTTAATTTTATCTTTATAAAATATATCATCATGTCATCTTAGTGATAGTGTCATTTATCTAATCGGGCATTATATCACTTATAAGTGTCCAATTAATATCGTTAAATTTTAAGAAAAATTGAGTAGGTTGTTATTTTGAGAATAAATAATTTAATGAATAAGGGTTTTTTTTTTTTTAGAAAGAGAAATTTAATTAATAACTAATGGTAGTGAGGGGAAGCTGAAAAGAAAGATATATTTTAGTCTTTTCTAGAGTAAGGAAGGTGTAAAAAGTATTGTTGAAGAGTGCAAAATAAAAGTTTTAAAGTGTTCTCAAAGTCACAGTCCAAGGGCCTAGCCCATTAATGTAGGGCCCTGCCATGATCACCTCACGCTTCAAAACCAACTTTTGAGTTAGGATTTCATGGGATGACTTTGTGACTGTAGAAAATTGAAGTTACTTTTAGCTTTTTTTAAAATTAAAAAAAAAAAAAAAAAAAACAATTGCTTTAGTCCTTCAATTTTTTTTTATTGAATTAGTTCCTTTAAAATTATAACGTGCAATTCAGGGGGAAAAAATTATAACATGCTGAAGTAGATTTATTTTTTTTATAAATTTCGTCAGTGACAGTGTAATTCCAAGCAGTGCTTCGTCCCATCACAATTAACAACTCAACTCATTCCTCTAAAAGAACGAGATTATTATAATTTATTTTCCTTTTATTTGTACAACAGTAGCAGCAGAACAGCAAAGGAAAAAAAAAAGTATGTATTGAAGAGAATATGCATAACAGCAGTAGCTGTCTGTATATCAATCTTTGTTAATAACTATATCGCTTAGATAGCATTTTCCACTTAAAGAAAAAGGATAAAAATAAAAATAAAATTTATCTTCTGTACACTTTGCTGCAACTCAACTAATCTATGTCAGTTTCCTTCAACATGATTTATTATAGCCTATTCAAACGAGAAGTTATGTCTAAGAAAGCATCTTCCCTGCAAGGAATAGTAAGACCACCCATTGGATGATCATATCCGAATTCTTCCTCAGCTTGGCTCAATAATTCTTGAAATAAAGGGTGATTCAAGTATGAAATAGGAATCACAAACCGCTTCAGTTTCTCTCCAACATACACTGCTAGATAGCCTCTTGGGACTTCCACAGCCTTGGAAGCTGCTTTGGTCACACCAAAAGATGACCTTCTAATGCCAGGTAAGCGAAATCCCATTGTTTTGAGTTGAAATGCAAAGAGAACAATAAATACAATGAATGCAAGAGCCTGTGTTTGAAAGAAATGTTTGAATTCTTACTTGGTGAGTGACTTGTGTTGCTTGGGAATGCCATTGTGAGTATATATAGATAGATATACGAGTTTTTGTGGAAACAATTCTCTAAACTGAATGGTTGGTGGGCTATTTGATGCTTGATGGGGTCTAGCGAGAGACAAGGGCTAAAGAGGTTTCACATGATATTGTCTATATAATGTTGAGGAAGGATTAGTTGAGATTTGAGAATTCATGCCAACCTGGTTGCAACTTCAGAAAGAGACTTTACAGCCAATAAGCGAATAATTGCATAACCAATATAATGGCCTTCCTCTTATGTCTCATACAGGCTCAAAACACACACTTAGGTTCTTAATGTTGATAAACTACCACTTCCCTGATGACTAAAACAGTAAAAGAAATGTCTACTGTGGTGTGGTTATGTAGATCAGTTTCACCCTCCGCCACATAACAAAAGTAGGGCAACAGGTGCACGTGCATCCATTATATAGTTCCCTGCAATACTAGACTTCAAATGTTGTGTAGACTGTTACTTGTAACTAAAAGATACCGAATTTAAAATCAGATTTCTATTGATTTGCTCAGTTGCTCCAACTAGATGAATATCCAGCTGATAGATCCGAGCCAAAGTTTGTGAGCTTCCCTACTTTCTTTGAAGTAATTAGATACAAGGCATCTTTAAAGAGATTGATCAAATAGCTTATGTGCTAGTAAATATAGAAATTTTGGTTTCTTAAAGCAAGCACCTAGAAGGCACTTAATGTGTGTTTAGGAACAATGCTCCTCAAAAATCTTAGTTTCGTGTGTACATTTTTTTTAAATAAAAAAGATTTTTTTTTAAAATAAAACTTATGTATTTTAACTTCTCGCTAAACGTTATCTATCTCTAGGTCCTGATTCCTAAGAAATATACTCATGTTCATCCCTGACAAGGAATTTTATGTTATGTTCCGCTTTGAAAGTTATTAGCACAGCCAAGTCTAGTTTTTCCTACAGCAAGCAACCTTACTCATGTTTCCTAAGTTATTGGCTTAAGGGACAAGTGAGCAATTGAACATTGTAACTAATGGACAGAAAACACAAAGGAACCAATTGGATAACTGAATTCATTGTTATAATGCAAAAATAGGGACAGAGCATTCTGATAGTCTATTCTATTATACTGCACTAAATGTCTCTACTAATCTATGTCAGTCATCTAAAATCTAAAGTGAAACATTTATATCCCATTCAAGCGAGAAGTTATATGTTGGAAGACATCTTCACTGCATGGAATTGTGAGGCCACCCATGGGATGATCATATCCAAACTCTTCCTCGGCTTGACTCAACAATTCTTGAAATGAAGGTTGGTTCAAGTATGATACAGGAATCACAAACCGCTTCATTTTCTCTCCAACATAGGCTGCAAGATATCCCTTTGGCACATTCACCTCTTTTGAAGATGCTTCATTGCCAGCAAGTAATGCCCTTCTGACACTGGGTAAATGAAAACCCATTGCTATATTGATTGTGTTAGAGACTTGAGAAGAGAATGGTCTAAGAAAAGACTTCAAAACAAACTCTTTAATTTTGAATGCTTAAGGATATTGACGTGAATGATTTGTGTTGATCCAAAATTCTTGCAGCCATGAACGTATATATAGATCAAAGGATATGTAAGAAACCATATGCTACTTGAAATATAGGCAAAGGAGGGCTATAAGATTGGAGTCATGGGACCAAATGAGAGACAAGGCATATGGTGTTGTCTTAGAAGACTTTCTCATGATCCGTCGTAACAAGTTATAGTAGATAATACATGTCTCACCTTCTGGAACAGATTACCCCACTTGAAATAAAACAGATGCATCTATGAAAAAAGAAAATCTATTTGATCATGTTGACACTTTTTTGCAGTGGCAGGGGCCACCAACTTCATTTATGCAAATTTCAAGTTGTGTTGCTTAGATTTTGTTGTGAATAAAAATGTGGTTCATTGTGCCACGTGATCATGTATTCAATCTTGGTTCTCTTCTTATCTCCAAACACTGTCTCAAAGCTATCAACCAGGTCAGCTCGAGCTTCAAGGTTTACAGGTTGCTCATTGTCACTTAGATATTAGTTGGTACATGGTAGATATACATCTGTAGTGTTATCATCTTGAAAGAAACATGTGAGATGTCTAAAGCATGTCTATCATGGGAATAGCAATAGCTCAATGAATAAACAAGCATTAGATTTCACCATTGCTTATGTATTTAAGTTCAAGTGGGTAAATATGTTGGTCATTATCTCAGAAGGTGGGGTATTGTATGCACTCCCATTTGTCTTCCTGATGCTTGAAAGAGATCTTTAAGACAACACCATGTGACCCCTTGTCCCTCAATACACCCTATCATAGCCCTGTCAAAAATCACTCATGGTGGAATTGGATTGCAGTTGCATAGGGCCTATTAGCGACTATATATACACTATTTCTTGTGTTCCCGAGCAACACAAGTCATTTGCATCCTGAAGCATCAGAATTCAAATTTTCTTTCTCATATAAGTTCTTTGACACCACTCGGTATATTACTTGTTTGTGGAGCAACAAAAAACAATGGGTTTCTTCGTACCAGTTATTATTAGACGGGCATCATTTTCTGCTGCTCAAGCAACTCGCAAAGGACTTGATGTCCCAAAAGGCTATCTTGCAGTCTATGTTGGAGTTAAGATGAGGCGGTTTGTAATTCCAGTATCATACTTGAACCAACCTTCATTTCAAGAATTACTGAGTCAAGCAGAAGAAGAATTTGGATACGATCATCCAACCGGTGGTCTCACAATTCCATGCAAGGAGGATGAGTTCCTAGACCTCACTTCTCGCTTAAATGGGTTGTAAATCGTGTTAATAGATAGATTTGTACAGAAGGCACTTTTTCCATTTTAGTGAAGTTGAAATTTTTTACCTGAATGAGAATGTTAATACAAGATATTGCCAAAACGCTTATTGTTTGTGTCAAATTTCTGTGATTTCTGATATATACAAATACAACAGTATCATTATCAAGTTTCAGTTGACATAGATCAGCCTATTATCTTTTAACAGGGATTAAGTGCAGTAAATCTTTGAAGATATTGACCAAACTTGATAATAGATGTTTGCCTTTTTGCATTTCAATGTATGTCATTGGGCTGATACAATGGATCACAAAACACGGAACATATCTTTCTATAACATGGGCCCATTTAGTCCATTCTTGCAGAATGACAAAATAATCTTGAGTTAATTTGGTGCTCTTTCCTATTCTATCATCACTGGAAAATCACTCCCATTTGCAAGGGTCATTGATTCTTGTGGTTTCCTAATCAAGCAGCGCCATCACATGGATTATTTTAGTTGTTTCTTGGGCAGCAATACATGGATTATCATAACTATTTTATTGCCCTGAATTTCTCAACAGTAATAAAAGATATTGCCCATTTTGGTGGAAAGAGATCAGCTAAAAGTTGTTCTATTATTACCCATGGCCTATATTTTTATCCCTTTCCTACTTATTTCTGTTTATGAAATTATAATTGAGAAGTGGGATGTGATATTTAAAATGTAGTTATTCTGACCAAAAAAATATTTTTGGAGGATAAACATTATCTCCCTATTGTTTATCTGTGAAGTAACTATAATTTCCTTTTTTCCTTCTCTTTTTTTTATGCAAAAACTTCGAATTCATTATTGGATAAGTGATTGTAAAACTATAAAACCTCATAAAAACTTCAAGGCTCAATTGTAATGTAAAACACCTCCTGAAGAGATACAACTCTGCCGAAATGGAAGACCACCATGGTTGGATGGTGGTGCAGGTTATGTGGCTTATGACATAATTCTTAATGTGAATTTCTATATAAATCCCTATCTTTTCCAATACTCAATATCAAACTTCTATCTTACTCTTCATTATTTTGGAAATCCTCTCACAGCTATTGTTTCAATCAAAAAAGACAAAATCTGAGAAAAAGCATTGACTATTGCAAGCTGGAAGTGATATCTGGGGGACACCTTCTCTACAAGGGATTGTTAAGGCCATTCATTGGATTATCAACAAATTCTTGTTCAACTTCACTCAGAAGGTCTTGAATTGAAAGTTGGTTCAAATATGATATAGGAATCACCGAATTAGTGAATCACAAACTGCTTCTTTTGGTTTTCTCCTACATAAACTGCTAGATAGCCCTTTAGGACATCACTGCACCTTTGAAAATCAGGCGAACAGAAACACATTGCGGATCAAGAGAGTGTTGCCAAAAAGGCTTGTGTAAGAAGAATTTGATGCTTCAAAATGCAAAGGACATGACTTGTTAACTGCAACCATGACTATCTCTATATATACATAAAGAGAAGGTTTTAGAAAACTTAGGTACAAAAAATGATAGATGTAGAGTAATCCAAATGAGTCTGGTGAGAAACAAGGATGTGAAGGATCACATGGTACTGTCTAGAATGTATTTTATCAAAGATGAAGAAATTAAGTGAAGCTGGATGTTCCAATTTTTTGAAGGATATCCTAAAAGATAGCCACTTGATAATTAAAAAAAAAAAATCAAAACCCAATGCTTGTCTAAACAATTTAATGGCTGATGAAGTGTTCTAGACATGACTTTAAACACCATGTTTGATTCAAATTGAACGGTCAACTAATACCATATACCAGAAACATTTAGATAAGGCATTTTAAATTGTTTGCATGCACTTAAAATTTTCCTTTATAAAAAATATTGAGTTGAGTCAATAATACAGGAAAAATTCGTTCCTCTACCTTACATGTAGAACTGTCAAGTGGTTGAGACAAATCATGACCACTATAAAAAGCAAAGCATAGATAGCATGGACAATTAAAGCTTATCATGCACGTCAGCATCTTAATCTGCTTTGCTGTGGTGATTACTACCAAATATAATAACTTGAAAAAGAATCCGATTAACTAGAGAATTATATTTTGCATATAAAAACAACTTAAGCTTTATTTAATTTGTAATAGAAAGTTCAAATATCCCTTAAATCGGCAATTGTTAGGACATTATCCACTTGATGAAACAAAAAACTATGTATGAGTTAAGTTAGCAGTAGCCAGTAGCACAATCGCAAGATATGTACATCCACTTGAAGTTAAAAGAATGTGTACGAATTTGAAGCCTAGTAAGCCTTTATTTTGGGCTTTAGGTGAATTATTAAAATTTTGGGCTCTTGTCTCGTTGCTTAATCTGCAGTGGCCCAACTAAACAGGTTAAAATGCTGAAATGCAGAAATGGGGCAGGCCCGGGTACAAACCTCTATTTTAAATATAATATATATATA